GTGTGCCCCTCCATGGCTTTGAGTCTGTCCTTCCTTTTCACTGTTTTCCGAAGGGGGACAAAGTGCCTAAAGGACCTACCCAACAGGGAAAGCCGGGGCCAGTCTGGGGAACTGAGGAGCTCCAGGGCAAGAGTAGGTAGAACTGCAGTTGTCATTGGCCTTGCAGTCTCTAGCCATCCCACTCTGAAGCAGATCTTGGAGTTACCTTTGTGACTGTCCCTCAGGTTGCTCCCCAATGTCTTGCCCACTTTCCTGCCACCTCTCATGCCTGGATTGACCTCTCTACCTTTAAAGCTCCTTCTGCCATAAATCTAGTACCCCAGAAGCCTTCCAGCCAGTTGACCATACTGTGGCCTACCATCCCACCTGCCTCCTGTCCTTGTGGGTAGTTTGGCATTCTTGGGGGAAAGAGCAGCATAGGGGACCTCTTTGGTCCTCTGGCCAGGTACTGGCACTGTGTGTTCAGGGCATTTATCACTTAACACCTGCAGCCTCTTGTGAAAACAGGTTTTGGGTTTTGGCCCGTGAGCTGGTAGGACTTATTCTGTCCTATGGCACCCAGCCTCTATGGTTGGCACAGGTGGCTGTCGATGTTCTCAGGGACAAAGACAGGGCCTTACCAGCATGGAACTGCCCAGGCAGAGCTGGTATAAGTGAGACTACTTCAAAGGGCGCTCATGACTTAAATTATTTTGAAGGAAAGCCCTTTTTTGTTCAGAGAATTGCTCTGTAGGTGATCTTTTGTTTAGTCTAATGGTTTCATCAAAAGATCAGTCCTCCTTTCTCCATCCTGGACAGGAGCGAGTGTGAAAAAGCCTGGGGAGCCATGACAGGCCTGCCTGGGGTGATGCAGCAGATACCAGAGAGGGGCAGATGGCTGAGCTTACAGAGTTACCATTACCACATACGTGATGTGTGAGCATATTTTTACTGGAGGGCGAGAGTGAGCCAAGCCTGCATCGCTCCTAATTATATCTGGTAGGTTGTGCCGCCTCTGCAGGTCCTGGAGGGCAATGGAGAGTTTCTGTAGCAGAGTCTAGGTGGTCCCTAGAATATCCTGAAGCTTATGTGGGTTTTCTCTTGCTTTGAACAGAGCACTGGGCAGTCCTGGTGGGTACAGACCTTTCTCAGAAGGGAGGGTTGAATTCATTGTTCATTGTTCCTCAGAGCCTCCTATCACTGAGTCCAACCCTTGTTAGGGAGGAGACAGCCTAAGGCCTCTGCCCCATCACGGAGCTTCGAGCTCCAAGAGCACTGAACAGTGTGTGATCTGAGAGCAGGGAGGCCTCCTTTGATAAACTGCATAAAGCTAGTGGTCTGGCAGGCAGTTCAAGACAGGAGGTCTAGTACAGCGGCATGTTGGGCTGCCCTGAGAAGGGTAGCCGTCTTTCTGTCTGGCCGGGCAGTATCTCCACCCTGGCCTTACCCATAGAGGGTTAGAAGGAGCGAGGTATAAAATCCAGAGTCTATAAAAGTGAGGACCAGACCTTTAGGCAGTGTTACAGCTGCCTACCTGGCACATATAGGCAGAGCTGAGCCTGAGACACTCAATTTGGGCATGTACCTGGAAGTATGATTTTGACATGATTGATGTTCAAAACGTGGTTTGTCATCAGCAGTCATTACTGCAAGGAGTTTCCCCTGATTATCTCTATCCCAGCTGATTTCTCCCGTATTTATTTATTTATTTATTTATTTATTTATTTAGAGTTTTTTTGTTGTTGTTGTTGGTTGTTTTTTGTTTTTTGGTGTTTTTTGTTTTTTTTTCTTATAGGGCATGTGCACTCACCAGAAAGACTGAGGCAGACAGAGAGTCAGAAAGCAAGAAATCACCCCCCAGGGGGGGATGGCCACGCCACAATCCCTTCTCCTCCATTCTCCTCTTGGGATCTTGGGCGCACACACACACGTGCCCGGCGTGAGTTTAAACAACCGGGTCTGGGACTCAAACCGTGGTCAATTACATGGGAGTCCAGCGACATACCCATTAGGCCAACTGCTGGTCCCAATTTATGTATTTATTTTAAGAGAGATTTTTGCTATAGGGCACTTGCACTTACCAGACAGACACAGACAGACAGACAGAAAGTGAGAAAGCATCCCGCAGGGGGATGGCCACACTGCAATCCCTTCTCCATTCTCTTCTGGGGATTTTGGGCATGCATGCACATGCACCTGGCATCAGTTTCAAGCCTCTGGGTCTGGGACTCGAACCACAGTCAGCCATGTGGGAGTCTGGCAATATAACTATTATACTATCTACCGGTCCCTGATTTCTCCTCTTTTTATTTAGCAGCATTTCATAATTAATCTGGAATGCATTGTCAAAGACTGGTTTTTAGTCTTTGATTTCGCATGTAATCTTCTCATAATAAACTTGTGTAGTCAAAGGAGGAAATGGTTTGTTAGGCAGGTTAGTAAATAAGCTTATGAAGGGACTGCCTGTCTGTCTGAGAAAATTACCTCCTGTATTCTGGCTTTCAGAAGTGCCATTTCCTTGAAAATCATTGACTCTCAGACTTCCGTACCTGCTTGGGGTCAGAGGCCCCTCTGACCACACCATTACTCTAGTTTAGAGTGTAATCCTTGTAAGTTACGGATATCGCCTAGATAGCTTATAGTAGCTGTAGTAGCTCACCACCCCTCTTCCCCCAGGATAGGCAGATGCCTTCTTTTTTAATAAAGAAAAAAAAAAAAAAGGATTCAGACAAGATCAAAAATGCACCATCAAGACAAAGAGGTAATTTGCTTGCACCCCTCTCTTGCCCCAGTGCAGTCGGATTCTCACATCCTGTCTCTACCACACCCTGCAGTGAAAGGGTGGGAGGACTCTGGCCACTAAAAGAGCTTTTCAGAAGGAGCTAGATTAGCAATTGAGACTGGAGGCTAGATTCAGCCCTAACTCTCATTTCTCCACCTTGTGGGCTCAGCTGATTTCCTGGTTGTGAAAACACTGCTTGTCTGAAAACAGCCTCCTGCAGTTTCTTAAAGAGCCACAAGGTGAGGATGTGGCTCCTTGAAAATCTGTCTCAGCAGGACTTGGTCACTTTTCTCCCTGTCCCTCTGCCAGTCTCCTGCCCCTTGTACTTTGTGTGTTTACCTGTTTGTAGTGTGCCCTCTGGTTCATCAAGAGCTTAGGTTCTGGAGTCAGAGAGTCCTGGGCCTGACTCTCAGAGGGCCTCCGTGTCCCCATCTGTGAGGTGAGGATGAGAGACCCTGCCTCCCCCAGGAAGCTGGCATCACGGGGCATGTGGGAGTGCAGACTGGTGCCACCCACTCGAGGACCACCTGGCAGCCTGCGTCAGAAGCAGGCACAGAAGTTCCCCGTGCCTTGGCAGCCTGCTCTTGCTGGTCATGCTGTGGGTGTGCCAGCACGTGTGCAGTGACATGTGCACGTTGCTCATTACAGCCTTGCTGGGAATAGCCAGCGGCCGGAGCCAGCACTGATCTGGTGAATAAGCCAGAGGGCATCCTTCCGGGCAGAGGGGTGATGAAGAGGGAGCTCTGTGCTGCCCTGGACAGGGTGCTGCCACCAAGGGACAGGAGTCACACACCAAAATGTGAGACTGCCTGCCTGTCTTGGGCAAGTATCTAATTAGTAGTATTTTCCTTGATTTATGTGGAAATTGGTCGGCTTTCCTCTCTGGGCTCCTTTGTCCCTTCCACGTGAGGCGACCTGTTACACCACTTGTGTCAGCATCCCCGACTGATGACCACGGGTGATGCTCAGTGCACACACACTGTAGGCCCTGTCGGTGGGGGAACGGGGTCAGGCCCGAGGGAGACTCACAGCAGTAGTGCGGTAATGCATTCTATGTGGAGTCCTGTATGACCTGATGGGCCCCTGCCTGCCTGGTGCTGGTGAGAATTAAGTGAACATCCAGCCACGTGGGGTGCGTGCTCTCACCCGAGCTCACCTCTGAGTTGGGCTGGGTAGGGACCCCCTTGTATTCCAGTTAGGGTGCAAGTGGCGCCTGCCCAGGTTGGGTTTCCTGCGCCAGCCAAGCAGGATGAGCCTCCTCCCCTGCCCAGACTCCCCTGCTGCACCAGCACCTCCTCTTACCATCTCTTCACTTCTCTCTGAGGCAACAGGCTATTTTTGTCCACATTTGAGCTTCAAGGTTGCCCGAGTGCATTCAGGCAGCTGTCGACATCCTGGGCACCCCAGTCCCCGGCCTCCCTGCCCAGGCCCTCTCAGGATGGCTTTCCTCCTGTCAGCCCCAGCCCATCCCACAAGAGCCCGCAGCAGCAACCACACTGCAGCTTAGACTCAGGGGCTGCCTCTGTCGTCCCTGGAGCTCTTCTCCCTCTAGGCAGCTCCCTCGCTCGGCCCACTCTCTCACACATGGCACACGCCTGTGGGACCACTGCCCCCGTTACACACCGGCTTTCCACACTTCCCAGGGGAGCTGCTGCCTGAGCTCTCTGGGCACTGTCCCTCCTGGCCATCCTTGGAACAAAAGGCCCTACCTCTCCTGCAGCCTGGGTGTGGCTTCTGTGCTTTGCTGGGGTCCCGCCTCCTCTACCAGGCAGAGCCAAGCGTCTTGGGGCGCATCTTTCCTAGGGTCTATGAGGCTGGGCATGCCCCAACTTGCTGTTCTCTGGGCAGAAAGGTCAGAGCTAGGCCCGAACCACACGCCTGCACGGCTGTTGTGACAACGGAACTTCCAAAGGGCTGTGCCATGGGGTGGTGTTGGGGAGGATGCCGGGCTTCTCACCCAGGGCTGAAGGGACAGGGTGAAGCAGTGACTTAGATAGAACCCATGCCTGGACTCTGACCTGGCCCTGCACTGCCCTCCTAGGTGCCTCTGCTGGCCACATGACCAGCCTCACATAGAGGACAGAGCAGTGTGCTTCTCTGTCCCCTCTGAGGAAGTGGCCACCATTTATTTTCTTTTACCCTTTGCCAAAAACATGTTCATTTTAATTGTTAAAATGCAAGGTTTCCTGGACACAGACACAGAAAATGTATATTTTTCTCTCCCCTTCCTGTGTGGCAGGGAGCTGAAGGCTTTGGAAGAACGCTGACCTAGGGACAGCTCAATGGCCTTGGGAGAAGAAAAGGCAGAGGTGGAAGCATCCGTGGACACAGAAGCCCAGTCCTACAGGAGGTGGAGCTGTGGGGAGCGAGAGGTGGACACCCCAGGTCCTGCCCACGGGGAGCAGCACCCACGCCTGGAAGCTGAAGGAGGGCCCACCTCTCCTGTGTCCGGGGCAGAGGGGCTCCCCGCCCCTACCTGCCTCTCCGGAGCCTCCCAGCCTCACGCCAATGACACCAACAGTGAGCTGGTAGCCGACGGGTCTAAGCCTGCTCTCCAGAGCCTGCCTCCTCCTCCCAGCATGCTGACTGGAGACCTTCTGCACTGCGTGGGAAGCCAGGTAAGTACCAGGGCAGATAGGGCTGTAGGCTGACCCAGTGCTGGGCTCAGAGGGAGCGTGTTCCAGCTTTTCCTCACCAGCATGTCCTGACCTGTCCCAGCCACAGCAGGGTGGAAACTGCAGAGCCTAGGCATGATTATTTCTATCTCACAGGCACGCTTAGAGAGCTGGGCCTCAGGGCCAGCAGGAACTCTGTCCCCAGCATCTCCTGTAGCTCAAGAATGTGCTGGTCAGGACCAGCAGCTGGCGTAATGGCTATGTTGCTGGACTCCCATGTAGTCAACTGCGGTTTGAGTCCTGGACCCAGTGGCTTAAACTCACACCGGGCGCATGTGTGTGCGCGTGTCCAGGATCCCGAGAAGAGAATGGAGGAGAAGGGCTTGCTGCATGACCATCCCCCCTGGGGAGTGATTTCTCTCTTTCTATCTGTCTCTGTCTTTCTAGCGAGCACACGCGCCCTATAGCAAAAACCTCTCCAAAAAAAAGAAAGTGCCGGTGACCTTTAGAGGGCCAGAGATGGTATGGCCAGACGGGTAGTCCTGTTCTATTTCCGACTTGGTGGTCTGAAGGCTTCAGGGGGACCCTGAGGAGACTTGGGAGAGGAGAGTCCGAGCTGTGGGCTCCTAAGGGCACTGGGACCAGCTCCCCTGGGAGCCCCTGTGGTGCTAGACCTCGCTGGCCTGGTTCAGGGGCATTTCTGAGGCCTCTCTGATTGCCAGCAGCCTCCCACAGAAGGAGGCACATGAGACAGGGAGCCCTACGAGGGGCTACCCGCAGGTCACCAAATCATTTGGGCCCTCAGCATGATGGGTAGGGTGACCGAATGATCCCTCCAGCTCTGACACCTTACTGTGTTCTGCTTGCCAAGGCCTTTCCGGGAATGGCTTTGATCTTTTCAGTGCCATTGTGGCTGTGGCTAATGTTGTGTGCTCCCTCATGGAGCCCCATCCTGTGAGGAGAACCTGAGCAGGCCTGGGCAGGGGCAAGAGACTGGCACCTATGAACCCATAGCACATGTGTAAACAGAGAGCTGGTCATCCTTGTCACAGACGCCTGTAGCTTATTGAGCTGCTTATCAGGTACTGTCCCCACAAGCTCATTTGGTCCTTTGGGCCTTACATCCTGAGGGCTGGTCCTGTTACGATATCCATTTTATAGGGAAGAGAGATGAGGCTTAAGGTTATCCATCTGGAAGGTGGCATTGTTAGGGACTGACATCAGGTCTGTCTGCTTTCAAAGCCTGTGCCCTTAACCACTATGTGATCCTGCCTCCCACGGGGGGGTGAGTTCTTCATTGAACAGATGAAAAACTCAGGGCGAAGAGGCTGAGATGAATGAGTTATTTTGCAGTATTCAGTCACCACTGGCAGGTGAGCTGAGCGGGGAGGGGCCTGTTGGGTTTGGATGGCTCGTGTTGGCAACAAGATGGTTGAGAATTTTGTTGGCCCAGGAGATGCTTCCCGGAGGGTAGGCCATGCATTCCTGTAGCCATGTGAGAACTGCCTGAGCTCTGCTTGCCACTCACTGGACAGCCGTGGAGGAGGAGTGTGTGAAAGGGCTGGGCCTGGCATCAGCTAGGGGATGAGGTTCTGCCTCCCAGAGCAGGCTGTGGCTCGGTGAGGTGGCCAGGAGTGCACAAGTCTTGCTTTGGGCAGCAGATTTTTCATTGCGCAACCTTCCCTGGGTCCACAGGAAAACTCGTGGTGGTTATCTAAGAAAGAAATGCAATTGCCATGTTCACCTGAGTGCTTTTTCCTCTCGTTGCAGATGGAGACCAAGCTTCCTGCCTCCAAGGAGCTACCTCAGACTCCTAATGTTCCTAGAACAGCTCTGTGCTCAGGACATGAGGCTGACATTGAAGATGACCCATCCCCTGTGGATTCACCACGGGCGCTGGACCTCAGCCAACCACCTCGCATCTCAGGTTTCCCTTTCCCCCCACAGTGGAAGTCAGTGGGGAGCCCGGGTACTGCCGCTCCTCAGCTTTCCAGCTGTAGTTTCTCTGCCTCCTCCACGGGCAGCAGTCTCCAGAGTCAACAGGAGAAGGCAGAGCCTCAAGGTCGCTCCCTTGCCAAGGTGTCCTCCTCCCTGGAGCTGGTAGTCCCCCAGGCCCCCACCTCCGTGGTAGGGCCAGGTCCTCGACCCCAGTGGTCGCCACAGCCCATGCCCTCTGGGGTCGATGCTGCTGGGCTGGGCAGGAGGCGCCTGTCCTTTCAGGCTGAGTACTGGGCCTGTGTGCTACCAGATTCCCTGCCTCCTTCTCCTGACCGCCACTCCCCCCATTGGAACCCAAATAAGGAGTATGAAGACTTGCTTGACTACACTTACCCACTGAGGCCCGGGCCTCAGCTCTCTAAGCACCTTGACGGCCACGTGCTGGCCGACCCCATCCTGCAGGACTCAGGTATAGACCTGGACAGCTTCTCTGTCTCCCCAGCAAGCACCCTCAAATCACCCACTAATATCTCCCCCAATCATCCACCAGCAGAGGCTGCTGCCCTGCCAGTGTCTGGGCCCAGAGAGCCAGGCCTTAAGCAGTGGCCTTCTGGAGTACCCCAGAAGCAGGATAGCCTGGGCTTGGTATCTCAGAGCCAGCTGGCATCTACCCCTAGAGCCCCAGCCAGTAGGGATGCCCCTTGGGAGAGCAGAGAGCCAGCCCTGAGGGGCAAAAAAGACTGGCTGCCCACGGGCAAGCACCTTGAGATGGGCTCTCCCCAGCTGAGGACGTGGGCCAGAGGGTGGCCCTCACCCAGGCAAGAGACAGAAAAGGGGGCCAGCCAGAGTGTCCGGCGCCCTGCCTATGCAGAGTCCAGATGGAAACCAGAAGAGACGGAGAGTGACGACGAGTATCTCGCCCTGCCCACTCGGCTGACTCAGGTTTCGAGTTTGCTGTCGTATATAGGTTCCATGCCCACCCTGGTGACTCTGCCCACTGGGGCTGCTGACGAGCAGAGTTCTCTGGAAGTGTCGGACAGTGATGGGCCAGCTTCCCTCCCCTCAGACTCCAGCCAAAGCCAGCTTCCCTCTGGGGCTGCCCTGCAAGGGCCAGGCTGCCCTGAGGGCCAGGACCGCCGTTCCTTTCGCTCCTTCATTCGTGCCCGGGACTCTGCAGGTGAAGGCAGTCTGTGCAGCAGCCAGGCCCGCAGGCCATCCTCTGGACTGCTGAAAACACGCCCCTCCTTGCCTGCTGTGTCAGACCGGTGGCCGTTCTCAGACCCAGATGCTGAAGAGCAGCTGCCCAAGAGGGCAGGAGGACAGGGGAATGCCTCGCTGGTGCAGTGTGTGCAGGTAAAGGCATGCCAGTGAGACTGAGCCTGTGCCTAGGTTTCATCCCTTCTTCCCCCGTCCTCTAGCATTCTAATAAAAGTAGTCAGTGTCGACAGTCAGGTGCTGGGCAGACCCGATCTCATGTAGCCCCACAGCTCTTACCAGATAAAGTGCTGTTCTCATTTCTCTTTTGGGAGAAAAGAGCAGAACCTGCTCAGATAGCTGCCCACTCACAGGAATCCAAGGCTAGCCAGGGACCAGGCCAGGCAGACTGAGGACACCGCCCCTCCCCCTCAGCAGTCCTGTGCTGTGAACAGGATCTGTGCTGGTGCTGTTGGGAGACACTGGGCTGAGCAAAAGGCAAGTGGCTTGCTTGACAGCCACACTTCTCAGAGCTTCCTTTCCAAAGTGGTATGATGCAAAGTTGGGGGCATTAGATAGACCATTTCCTAGGCATCTTGGCCACTGCCCCCCCCATTTTTTTTTTTTAGAAGTTTTTTCCTTAGAGTAAT